CTTTGACTTCCTCATGAGCTGTTGGCAACTCCGGCAGGAAATGATTTTTGCCCCTCCGTTGCTCTTCCAATATCCGACGAATCGTGTCCGCTTCAGGCAAAGTGGTTCCTTCTGAGGCTGCCCAGGACCTGGTAAAAAAAATGAATCAAAGTAGCTCAAAAAACCATGTAGTCCTGTTTGCATGGCTGGGTTTGTTTGCGCGACGCCAGTCCGTTCTCCATCAGCTGCAGAAGTCCAAAGGCGTCCACATTCGATGGAGAACAGGCTGGCGCCCTGCCCAATGCAGCCCCCTAAAACGCCGCCGAACAAGACTGTAAAGTACCAGGGAGCTTCTAGCAATTTTCCCTTACCTTCTTTTAGCAGCTTTCAGCGAGTCAGTTCGAATTGATACCAAATCCGTCTTGCCGCTCCGTAACCTTGATTCATCCATGCTGTCGGCATATGCGCTGTTCTGAAATCCAGTAAGCTAAGGTAGCGGCAAGGATAAGGCCGCATTTATAGTTAGCGACTTGAGCGATTCAGTCGCACGATTTAACGCTCCACGACTTGTTTCTGGACCACGATAACAGTCAAAAGTTCCGCCCTGAATGCTTTCAAACTGGCAAAAATTGCGGTCTAACGATTAGCCGTGGAGCGTAGACAGTCGCAGCCACGCGATTGAGTCGCTTGAGTCGCTAAGTAAGAACGCGGCTCCAAAGAAGGTACCAGTAGTTAGTAGCTCGCATATAAAGGTATACCAACCTCGGAATTGAAAAAGAAAATGATTTTCCTAAAAGTTCTCACCAGGAAATAGTCCTGCTGACGGACGGTCTCAACTGCCCTCAATGGCTTTTCCGGAGCAGGAACAGCAGCCGAGTTTACGGATACATCCTCCAACGTTGGATGAGGATCCTTTGGAGGTGAAGGGCTAGCATCGCGGTTACTGGAGCTAGGATCAACGGCGGCTACCGAGGTATAGGTCGGAGTGAATGGTGCAGCAGTCTCTGCTGGTTCCAAAGGTGGTGACGGTGTGGATTTCGTATTCTCTCTGAAAATAAGACGGCTAAAGAGGCAGTCAGCTATTTGACGCTATTTCTACTTCATTTTCCAGGAGACTTCAAAAACCTCATAAGAACTGCAGTGACTTAGTAAAAAATCTTCAGCGCTGTTCGGCTTGGGAGGGGCATTTCGCACTTCCGCTAGTTTCTTTGGCAGGTTTATGCGAGCCTCGTTTTGTTGAGGCCTGTTAACTCCCGCAAAGTGGCGAAATGGTGCGAGTGAATCGTTTTAGTCACAGGAACTCACAGGATCTGACAAGATGGCCTGTTCGGGCTTCGCTGACTACCATTTGGTGCCACCACTAAGCCGAACAGCGCTAAATCTTCTGTATATACTTTTACTATGACCTCCGGTCAAATGAAAGAATTTATTGCGCTTTGCCAAAGGGTGGCCGGAAACCCTACTTTTCACTTCGAAAATCTCAGACCATTATCTGTCTGATGTTGGTCGTCCGGCGATAAAATGATCAATGAGGGGGAAAAAAGCTTAATTAGCACAGGAAGGCGCCCACAATTCATCAAGTCAGGATTTCCTGGAACTTTCTCTTACTGCGGAGCCCATGCGAGAGAGGTGGCATCCAAAAACCTAGTCGATGAATAATACACTGACTGAAAAGCCATTTCCCGATTTCGAATC